TAGTATACTCTTTTTATTTATTTATTTATTTATTTTTTTTATAACTTCTTACACTTTTTCTTAGTAGGCATGACATATTTACACTCATTCGCCCGACTCTAGACCAAGAAGCCACCAGCTAGCAATAGCGCCATGCCGCCGCCACTCTCCAAAATCTCTTTGTGATGGTGCATATTCATCGAGGCGACAGTATTTGCAGTGTCATCATCATAGTTTCTGTTGCGCCTTATAATTCGAAGCTCCTAGTGGAAGCCATGTGGAGACATCTGACAGTCAACGAAGACCCAATTGGTCAACATAAAGAAGTTATTTGCCGATGCACTATCCCATAGTTCTAAAGCTCTTCCGTCGAAGCAGTACTTTCCCATCCGAAGCCCTCTCTTAAGTTGAGGCACCTGCTAGTGATGGCAACGGGGCGGGTTCGGGGCGGGGCGCCTCGCCTCGCCTCTCCCACCCCATACCCTGCCCCGCCTTTGACGGGGCGGGGCAGTTTTCTTGTCCCGTTTAATTTTTTTTTTTTAATATTCCGAATTCAATAAAATACGGATAACATTCAAGTTGAACTTTTAATAAAGAATACCCTTACTTTATGTAAATTTAAGTTTTTGTTTTGGGATAGAATTATTTATAGTGTAAAATGATTTTTAGAGAATGTGTGGATAAAAAATATGAAAAAATTATAGGTCTATATGTAAATTATGTTATTAAAAAAATTGTGATAGAAAATAAGTTTAAATAAAAACGATTTTGAAATATGTTGCATAGATGAACTCTAAATATGTTATAATAGTTATAATTAAGTATGTAAATAAATAATTAACAAACAATTAGCTAATTAGTAACAAAGTTATGATAAATTAAGGGTTGGATGAACAAATAATTAAAAATTTTCTATCTTCATATTTCCAAGTATTAAAAAAAAATAAAAATAAAAAAAATTCACGCGGCGGGTTTTTTTGCCCCATTCGGGGCGGGGCGACGCCGGGGCGGGGCGGGGTAAATTGCCATCACTAGCACCTGCAGTCCTTCGAGAAATCTGCAGAATATCTTTAGGAATGATTAATGAAACATTTATATTAATGAACGTCAGAATTATCAACTTAGGGAGTAAGGCGACTGACCCGTTGTTAATGTATTAAATGTATAGCAGATAGTGATGTGAGGCCTCGGTTAATGAGATGAGGTCACGTAGTTCTGATCCAATGGCTACCATATCGGCCCAAACTCTATAACTAGCAACTCTTATAACATTTTAAGGAGATGACATTTTACCTGCCAAAAGAAAAAACCACCTAAACTTTCCCTTTCAAATATTTTTGTGTTTAATTTAGATTTGTGTTCTTTTTCAACCTATCCATGGTCTGGTTCATACATGCAACCGTTTTTTTATCATATTGTAGGTACTTGAATGTTTTCATATTGTGTCGTAAAGCATCTCCCACATATAGAACTATCGCATATCCTCGATTGAATTTCAAGTCAAAATGTGTAGGAATTTGCTCGTGTAGATGTGAGTAAGCCAAAAATCAGTTATCCATTTGTCCATTTACGAGAAACAGGGTCAACGGTTTCCATCGATGGTGGTGGTAGTGTAGGTACGGAAGGGAGGTTTCCAATTATTATGTACAATATTTGAGATTAAAAAAATTTCATAGTGATTTAAAAAGGGTGATGCTACATCTACATTTTCTTTGTACATAATATTTTACACCTCCCTCACGTAGAAGGGGTTGCATAAAATGTATTGAATCTTACTACATATACATTAGGGGTTACATAATATTATATGACATTTTATCATTTTGTCAGTTCAAGACACGGTCAACATTTTATTATACATGAGCCCTCTCCATGTGAGAGAATGTAAAAGATTATGTACAGGAAAATAGAAAAAGAAAAAAGGAATTGGTAAGTGTAACTTCCTCATTATAAAACAAGTTAAATCGCTTTTCGATTGAATAGAGCTGGGCTAATATAGCCAAGGATTTTCTAAAAGATAACATAAAAAAGGTACGTATGCTTATCTAGGCCAACTATTAGCCACTATTTAGTATCAATTAAAATTTAGATTTTAATTTAATCAAAATAAATAAATAATTTTGACCATATATTTATGGGTCTCACAACTTTTCAAAAATCACATATTTAATCAACTTCTCTAAAAAAAAAACTAAAAATTTAATTTTAATCCTCATCGAACAGCATCTAAGTATAGAATAACCATGATCAACTCATATTTATAACCCTAGTCACACTGAACTTCAATATTAAAAAATTCAAGCCTGACAAATTAATGTTTTAGCTTCAAGTCAAGTCAAACTTGCTCAACCTGTTATATTTTATGTTATTTTTCTTAAAAAAATTTCATTTTTCAATCGAAGTTAAGAGTCGAAGAAATTGAATGTACTTTTCTTTCTTAACCGACATATGTAAAAAAAATAAAAAATTCAACAAGGTTATCAAGTTAACATATCAAATAGAAATCGAACAAATACAAGTTAAACCTAATCCTAATATTAATTATTTAAAATGAATCTTGAAATTGATATCCAGACTTAAACAAGTTTAGTACCTAAATCAATAACCCTAATTTTAATAAATCTTTCCTATCTATTTTTCAATTTATTTTGGCCAAATCTAATCCATTTCATGAAATTTGTTCTCGTCCCTATAATGGATAAATTTCATATGTTAGCTGTCAATGAAATTTCAATTGGATCACTAAACTTCAATTTATTTTCGATTTAATAACTTATCGTCAATCTTGATTTCAAATTTCACACTCCGTCTATTTTGGCAACAGGTAATCATTGCGTGGCATGTAAATTTATCATCCCCACCGCATCTTAAAAGTGCTTAAAAAAAGGTCTTTTAACCCTTTGATATAAAAATATTGACACATTCTTCATTTTCTTATTTTCGTTTTTAAAATGGCACATATCAATTATGTAGAAGATCAATTACAATATGACTATCAAATAAGCACTTTATTTCAATTTGAGAGATGATAAATGTGTATATAGTGATCTTTATTTGAAACTAAATCGAAGTTCCGTGATTCAATTGAGATAAGTTAAAATTTAATCACTCAATTGAGATTATGCTAAAAGTTCAGTTACCGCAGACAAATTTACTCCATTAAGTGCAATAAGGCAATAACTGGAGTCCTTCTAGAAAATCAGTGTTGGGGTGTATGATATGTGCAGGGCAGATATGAAATTAGTGGATTAAAATTACTTGAGGGTTGCTTTCATTCCACACGACACAATGCAATTAGTGGCTACAAATAAAAGAGGGTACAGCAAGACCACCCCATCTCCTACATTTCTAGATTTTCCAATGGACCCCATTCTTCTTTTGCATTTGCATCCTTTCTCGAGCTTAGGATTTTAAGACAAGTTCACAATGCTGTCAAACATTAGGATTGTCCCAATTGTCATGCATTAAGGGGACACAATATAGGTGGAAAATGGATTGAATCAAGTTGGATATAATTGTGGTAATAAGTTGATCGGAGTCGGATATATTAAGACTTAAGGTCTCATATTAAAATTTTGACTCTATTAAGAGGTATAGCTCAAATTCATATTGATTGGTTTACATTTTAATAATTAATCGATGTGAGATTTACCTCCACAAGATGATGACTTGTTTGAGCACATCAGTCTTAAATTCATGTGCATTTTTTTAGTGTTAATCGAATCAAATTATTTATTAGAGCTTAGTATACTATGATAACATATTAAAACTTGGGGTTCCATATATAAATGTCAATGTTATTAAGACGGGTAGTCCAATCTCATATATAATGGTCTATATTTTGGTGACTAGTCGATGTGAGATTTATTCATTAATGGGATATACGGGTTTTGATATAAGTTTTTGAAATGTATGGTTGAAAAGTTGTGAATTTCATGAAATATGTGGTTAAAATTCAATATTGACTTTGAATTGAAATTTTAATCCAAATAAACAGGCTCTAGGTATTAAGTTATTTTCTGCTATAATAATTATTTCTCCTCTTTTTCAAAAACAAAAAACTAGAAGAAATATTTTTCGAGTCAACATAATATGGTATTAAGTTATGCATTTATATAGTTCATTTAATTTTCTATGACCAAATTTTTGGACATGGTCGATGTGCACTTCTGTGTTTAGCTTCATTTCTCTTACCGGGCATTTATCTGCATCACAATTTTACTTTGTCAAAATAAAAAGAGATTGAAACCTACAAGAATTAAAACCCTGATTGTCATTATTTACCTTACATTCTTTTTCATTATTTTTTTTCACAGTATTCATTTTTAATTACACTTTTTTTATTAAAATAATATTACAAGCAAATAAAAAACGATTTCTTTATTTTTTAACCACACATAATATTCCTCATAATATATTTCTTCAAATTAACGGGCCTCAAAAAAGGCCTGAATATGATGACGAAATATAAGTTCTAATCTAAATACGGTTTTATGTTATGCAAAATATATATTTACGATAATTAAAAGTCGCTTTCTTTCATTTTATATTAAAATCACAATCAATATAGCAAAATATGTATTTCTAATTAAAGATAAAAACTATACACATATATTTAACTTAAATATATATATATATATATATTTTATTTGTTGAAAGCTGAAAAAGAAAAAGAAAGAAAAAGAAAAACTACGTTTCATTTTTCAAAACCAACGGCATTTTGGAACATACAACACAAAGCCCCTGACTCTCATTTTTTGAAAATGAAAATAGGTGAAATAGTGTTCTTTTGAAAAATGAGTGGTTGAAAAAAATGAAAATTTTTTGATTTACGTATAATATTATTTTATTAAAGATTATGTGGTTAAAAATAGAAGAGAGGAAAATAAAATATAATGAAAAGTAAATTAATGGGTCAAACGGGGCAAAATCAAATATACACGCGTCAGCTTACCGTGGCGAGTATGAATGATGTTTAGTGCTGGCGATAGAGTAAACCTATACGAGCTTTTTTATTTTATTTTCTGCAATTCCGAACTTCTCCTCCGACCTACCCCACTACATTCCACCCCATGCCTCCCTATATAAAATAGAATTGCGCCGCCCCCTCTGTTCCTTCCCTTCTCCACCTGTCTCTACATACAAATATACATATATATGTACGTATAATGTATGTATATATACCTAAATATGAAACTAGATTGATTTACTATTCATGGATTTGATAATGATATAATTTGTTTGAAGTCTTTGAGGAATCAGAAGAAAAAAGTAAATAAGGAATCAGAAGGAAAAAACAAAGTAAATAGGAATAATGAGAACGCTCTGTGATGTTTGCGAGAGTGCAGCAGCTATTCTTTTTTGTGCAGCCGACGAGGCAGCTCTTTGCAGTTCTTGTGATGATAAGGTATATGGTAGATTTTATGTGTACTGTGTTTCTGTGTATTTCGTAATGGATCTGATTGAAATATTTAGCGAGGGAGTAAATACTAGTCAAATCTATTTGTTAGATTATGTTTTGTTAGGTAGTACTATTTTATTGTATTGAATCGTATATCCATATTAGATTTTTGAATGTCGACGTGTGGATCTTTGCTGAGATATGCATATAATGATAAATACTATCAGAATTGGCCGTAAAGAAATTACTTTACCATGGTAGGAATTGCAATTACTTTAAAGTACATATTTTTGTGAGTTTTCAGGGTACTTGATGCTATGTGTTTTCTATCATTCTTGTAGTACCTTAAAACTTTTGAATAACATCTCATTTCATTAATACTTGGGTCGCTTTTCAAGTACTTAATGGCCTCCTTAGCCTAGTGTTTAGGCTCGAAACTTGCCCTAGCCAGCTAATTTCGAATGTGGGTGGTTCTCATTATATTGAATAATAATCTTTTGATTACCTCATAGCACACATTTATCACCATGACGATTTGTGCACCAGTGTGCACCTGTAATGGATACATGGTTGCTGCACGTATATAAAAGTGAAAATCTGAGCCATTAATATCAAGCCTTATTTAGAGGGTTGGAGACAGATGGCAGGACTACTATCAAGTATGCCTGAGAAGAATGCATTTGTGTTCTTTCTTACATTGTGGTGGCATCTGAATCATGCCATCTTATGAGTTTGAAGAATGTTCTATGAGATTCCTTGGAGGAATCTTTATTCACTTATTGGAATACTTGTGTTATTCTTAACTTATTATTGTACGAAAATTGTAGTTGTGAAAATGATAGGCTAACGTGGTGTGACAGGTCCATATGTGCAACAAGCTTGCGAGTAGGCACGTGCGAGTTGGGCTTGCTGAGCCCAGTGCAGTTCCACGCTGCGACATATGCGAAAATGCACCTGGTATGCAGGTTCATTTCTCTTCCTTCCAATTATTTGAAAGGTTGGAACACGTCCTGAAATACATTTATTATTGGACCCTCGTATGTAGCCTTCTTTTATTGTGAGAAAGATGGAAGTTCCCTTTGTCTCCAATGTGATATGATGGTCCATGTTGGTGGTAAAAGAACCCATGGAAGATATCTCCTATTAAGGCAGAGAGTTGAGGTTTGTAGTTGTTAGAGAACACTACTCATTTTTGTAGCAGTCGTGTAAAAGGCCTCATATTTCCTTCTTTTATGGTTTGCTTTTGTAGTTTCCTGGGGATAAATCTTCACGTTTAGACGAGCCAGGATCACAACAAGGTGATCTGGGTGAAGCTAAGAGGGAATCTATTGAGCCCTCTAACTTTAAACGGAAGGAAAATCAACAAAATCACATGGCATCTTTGATTCCAATGCTGGGTAATAACAGTACCCCTGATGGGAAAATGGAGAATAAGCTGATTGATCTCAATGCCAGACCTCAACGGATGCGTGGACAAGCTCCAAATGACCAGGTATTTTCCTTTTTAATGATGCATGGGAAAGTTCTGAATTATTATTTACCTTTTTTATGATCCTTCTATCTAAATAATCACATTTCCGATATAATGGCTAACAATTTAAAAAGTTTATCTCTGGTTTTGATTTCCAAGGAACAAGTGGATACTTTGATTGGCAATCATCATGAAGATGCAAGTTTGGTTCCAAATGGATACTTCAAAAGCGAGCCTGAGAATTGATGAAGGTATGGCATATGGATATGTATTGAGTGTTGATATTCCAGCTTATTAGTTAGCTGGTTTACATAGGCTAAAAGAAGATGTGTATGTTAAGACTTGGGGTTTCATCTTAAAAGGTCAATCTTGTTAAGAGTAGCAGCCCAAAATCTTATAAGTTTGTGTATATTTTCATCTTTATTTGATGTGAGATTTTATTCCTTAACATGCTCCAAAAAGATGGTGACTCTTTTGAGCAGACCAATCTTAAAATCCGTGCGCTTATTTTTTTGAGCCTTAATCAGATCAAATTGTTCGTTAGAGTTTAATGAGCTCTGATACCATGTTAATTTTAAGGTTCAATCTTAAAAGGTCAACCTTGTTAAGAAGAATAGTCCAAAACCTTATAAGTTAGTATATATTTTCATTTTTATTCGATGTGGAATTATATCCCTTAACAGTATAAACTGCAATATTTTAAGTCTTTACAATTTTATTCTAGTTGTTGAGAGGTATAACTTCTCATTTCCCACATAGTACTCGAAATCACACTAGCTGAAGTCTGCTCATTATGAGGGCATTGTAAATGCGAGTTCATATGCATGTGTTTTTAATGAAGGTCTGATCATCCCGAATTTTGGCTTCTTTCTTTTTTTTGCTTGTGATCTATATGTCTTTTTTCGAGGATAGAATATTACTTTCTTGTATCTCACATTGCAGACCCCAATCTATGGAACTTGTAGGAAAATTGGTCCTCAACTTTTAATTTTGCATTTAAATGTGTTTTTCCAAGCTTAATGCATGTTGATTCCCGCTAGTCAGTTTTTTCTCTATTTGACAGTGTAAAGTCGATCTTTTTGTTTAAAAAGATGATTATACTCTCCTTTATTATTAAATCAAAATAAAATAAGCAGGAGAAAGGAAGGAAATGAAAATAAAAAAGTAAAGGAAAGTTAATAAAACAAAGTTCCCCACAAAGCCTACTTATCCTTGCTTGCAGGGGGCGAAGAGGGCCAAAAACCATAGTGGGTAGGTGGTAGACCAGATCGCACTGGCTAGTTCAACTAGGAAAACTAAAAACAAGTTCAATTATATAGCCCTTGTTTCATGGAGATTAAAATCAGATTTTTAGTAGATATTGATAAAAGTTGATGAAATGTGTGATTAAAAAGTTGTGGGACCCATGAAATATATGATTAAAATTAATTGTTGAATTTGACTTAGATTAAAATCTCAATTTTAATTCATACTGAACAGGGGCATATTAAGAACCACATATATGGAAATCGGTGGAAACTTCCATATATGCTGCACAGAAAAGGTCCAAACTTAATCCCAATCCCAGGGAACAGTGAAGACACGAGATCGAATAATAAGTATGAATCATAGTTTAAATATTTCTTAATCTAGTTCATATATTTCGCGGTAAAAAAATAAAAATAAATAAATAAATTAAAAAAAAAATTCTAACTAGGAATAAGGAGTCTTTATGTTGCGTCACCGTGGACCTAATACGCCGCCTAGGGGCTAAATCAGTCAACTAGCTGGTTCCAACAATAAACTGGTGAACCGACCTTAGGCTTTACCTGTTTTCCTGGTTCATCTTATTAGAAGAAAAAAGATGTTAAATAAGCTGGAGATGGACGAAGAGCAAGCGGTGGATGCTATTTTTATTTTGAAGTGAGAAATCAAAGGCGATAAGAGGTGAAGAGGAACATAAAAGATTTGAGAGGATAGTAAAGCAACCATTGAAGTTTTAAGCCCTCAGATTGGGGTTTGGTTTGGATTAGAGGAGAGCAGGAGCACCCATGTAAGCATATTCACAACTACCTCGGGTGAACACACTTAGGAATGGTGGCTATGCCTATGGATACGCCATTTGAATACGATATAAAATGTGTGCAATTTTGTAAAAAAAATTAGGATACTCAAATATGTGCTATAATATTCAATATAATTTCATTAATAAAAAAATTAAAACGGAAGCATGATAATAAAAATAAAATATTAAAACATTTTATCTTAATTCTTAATTGTCGCAACTTCATTTTCTTTATTAAAATCAGCTACTAAGAGAAACTATCAAAAACAAATATATATCATTGAAAATAATACTCACCAACTCTGAGGGAAACTGTCAAAATTATACTACACCGATTTTGGGTGATTTTTAAACTATCTAAAATTGGTGCCTAGAATAGGAAGCATCGATTTTTTCAACCCTTCATAAACGATGCCACTCAAAATCGGCTAAAAACACTCCCTTGCAGGTCATTAACCTTTTACCTTTTATGGGTCAATAGCCGGTTGATTTTAGAAACATTGAGCCAAACTAGGGGATATGGTTGACAAAAACCATAGGGAGACGGGTGCTAGGGTAGGGCTATCTTGTTTTGTTTTCTTTCTCTTTCCATCTTTTTATTTTTATTAAAATTCTCTTTTACCCATTTTATGTCTCACAACAATACTCCACACGCATAGCATGTAACATTTTAATGGTGAAGTGGACGATTCTCGTCCATTAAGGACCAATGTCAATATGGACCTATTTGCACATATTTAAAAAATTGGGGACCTCTTATGCAAATTTTGCTTAAATTAATAGCAGTTGACCTTTTCCTCTAGACTAGGATATTGGTAAACACTGCATCTTTTAACTTGTATGAATTAGTTGAGCAACATTACAGGATAAGTTAAGTAACGAGATTATAGTTGTTCAAACATTTAAGGAGTTCATCTGTTTAGTGATGTGATTCAAATATTTATCTCCCTAAACGGATCACCAAAAATAGGAGATTAAAATTTTAGACCTTTTTTCTTAGCAGATACATTCCATCTTGAGCTGGATATTGCCATCCACAGCATGATCATTATGTTTAGATATAATGGGCTTCTTTTTTTACGAGTTGCTTTCCTGGAGCATGTGGAATTTGTTTTGGAATGAATGCTTTTACACTTGGTGACAAAAATAAAAAATAAAATTTGTTGTCTCGGTTGCTATCAATTTATTTGATACATGAATTGATTGATGTTGTAGATCGATATCTTAAACACTTGCATGATAAATAAACCAGAAAAGTAATAGTCAAATCTTATATACTAAATTATTAGTCTACTTTGCAAATTAACATTTAGCCCTTGTTTGAGCCCTATTCTTTTGGAAAAATGCATTTTTCAATAGTGTGTTGACATCATTTCAACCACACATTCTTCAATAAAATAATATTACACTCAAATTCAAATTTTTTTCTTATTTTCTAACCACACATTCTCTATCAATACACTATTCAAAAATTCATTCTTCCCCAAAAAAGGGGCTCAAACAAGGCTTAGAGAGTGTTTGGTGGAGATTAAAATTAGATTTTTTAATATACTGTGATAGAAGTTTTTGAATTGTGTGGTTGAAAAATTGTGGGATCCATTAAAGATGTGATTAATATTGATTTGTTGACTTTGACTTAGATTAAAATCAAATTTTAATTCAAACCAAACAGACACTTAATAATTTTGTAGACTTTACAAAATGGTCAAAAATGTTAATTGCATATTTATTAGTTTCTTTTTCCTTTTAAAAGTGTCCTATTTAACTACCTTCTGCTGGATTTGAAATACTCTCTTACTGGCAGGCAATTGTGTAAAATTTTCACCGACTGTTCTCTCCCCCTCCTCTCCCTACCATTCATGCTTCAGCATGATTTTGACATATATTATTTTTGCCATGTTACCTTGTATAAACTAAGATTATTGATATTGCATGATTTATTTGTCAAGTTATTTGTATTCTCTATATAGGGTTTTTTCTCTGCCATTGTAGTTTATAAGAGGGCATATTCAACTAAGAAATAATACAAATAAGAGCTCACTGTTATGTTGACGTATAAATACAAAATACAATTTTCGACAATTTTCGGAAAAAAATTTCTTTTTACAAACTTCGTTTCTTAGTTTGTAAATCTTTATAGATGAATAAAGAAATGATTTTTTTGGTATATGGGCAGGGGGGTGGATCCAGCACCTGGCGAGCTGGCACGGCCCCCCGTGCTGGATCCGTCGAGAAAAAGGTTAATGAAATTTTTTTGTTAAGTATATATATGTTCTTGTGTGAACATTGAACGAAAGAGTGTGTAAAGCAGGTGGATGGGCGGCGCATTTCCATACAATTAAATATGGGTTCGAATCATTTTAACAGCGCCTTCCCTTTTAATTTTTAAAATTGTAAACAATGAGTAAATATTAAATAATAATTGTACTAACATTCAGCAACAGGGAATGAAGCTCATATGGCAGAGAGGTCACTTTATATGTGAGAGGTATGGGGATCAATTTCATGTATTCCAACTTTTTTTAAAATTTTTTTAATATAATAAATAATGACTAAACAATTATATATTATTAAATTTCATTTTCGAAATAATTTCTTTTAAAAATTTATTGACACTAATTATTACTTCATAATTTATATACTTTTATTTTAGGTTTTATCAATTGACTTTATAAAATTTAAATTTGGACAATTATGTATTGCTTTTTATTCTTTTAAGAGTTCGAAAAACTTTTTTTTTTCTTTTGAGATTAAAAAATATTCTAATTCTAATAATCATTACTTTCAAAATTTTGCATAACCTTCGTCTGAGCTCGGAGCTTATCTTTACCGTTTAATCATGCTTTATGTATAAATTTCATCTTAACTCGCTTAAGTTTGTAAAAAAATTGAAACTTGATCATGGATATATGATTGCAAAATATATTTTTTTCTCATTGTTTTAGATTGTATTGGATTATATTTTTAAATGTATATGACTTTTACGTTTTAGTGTATTCATACGTTGATTGATTTTTTTTTAATATTAATAAACAATTTTATTATTGCAACCGTCAAGGGTCAGCGGCTGCCCTAATTGACTTAATATCCTGGATCCACCATTGAATATGGGGTGTTTGTGCGTGTGGAGATAAGGGGCAATTTCATTTTCCAGACCAAGAGAACATAGAACGGCAATACTTATCGTATGGCTTTTCATATGTATATTGATATCCCATCTGACACGTGCATTGGTTTTCACCTCAGTGCAGATGTAGGCGACTTCTTTGATGCATATGTAGCTGCATCTTTCTAGAGGAGATGGCAGAATGGCTTGAAGCTATTGCTTGCCTTGTTCCCATCACTTTGTGTAAAATATAGATGGTTTGAAATGGATATGCTAAACATGCTTGTGGAGAAGTTATGCATTGCTGAATTTCATTTCTCCATTTCTTGGTTGTGAAACAATTACAAGTTGATCTTACATTTATTGTTGATTCAAGCAATCGTGTCAGTGAAATTTATATCGTACCTTCTAATGTGCCTATTGTAGTTACTGAGATTGAGTTGCTCAATTTGTCTGTCTAATAATACAACATAAGACTTTCTACGCCGGAATTTGGTAAGTAATAGCCAGTATAGGGTTCTTTAAATAAAAATTTCACTGGAACTAGGTTGTGTACTGTTCTAGGGAAATGCTTGTGCTGGTCATGAATTTCGACTGGTATTTTGCTGATATATCTTAAATTTTTTAATTTTTGTATTGCAAACGATCTAATCTCCTCACATTTCCTGGAATTCCTGCAGTTATAGACACAGTGGATTTAAGGCAGGATGGGATTTGCAGAGCAGCAACTCTGCGACATCTAACCGTAGCGTTTTCCTTTACAACCACTGAAGTCTCATTTCAACTAGTGAAAGCTAAAGGGAGAAATATTGTGCAGCCTCCCGTGAATAAATCTGACATTGAGTAGAGTGAAATGTAGATAATCTCATGTAAACTAGATCTTATGAAAGCAAAAGGCAATGGGGACAGAAAATTAGTTATTATTATTTTTTTGTAATTATTTCGTTTGCTAGATGTGTATTATGCATATATTGTGACCAAACAAGTAACTTAAATCTTTGCTTAGCAGGAAATGGTTACATGGCCAGTCTTTTCTCGTTCTCTAACTAAATTGTTCTTGTTGTCTTGCTCGGTGATTTAGGCGAAAGGCAATTTAAATGAATGTCTGGTTAAGCTTAAAAGTTAAAAGCTAGTGAAACGTACTTTAAAGTAACACTTTTTTCTCATACATGTCTTGGATGTTCTTTTTCCAGTTAAATATTGGGATTGCTTTCAATATATATATATATATATATATATATGTATGTATGTATGTATGTATTTTTATTTATTTATTTATTTTGAATGTTGACTAACAGTAAAAATATATTTGTTTCAAATTTTTCTTATTACTTATAGGTAAAGTACTTTTCTGAAGCTTATACAATTTTTTTGTTTTTATTTTTTTGAATTTTCCCTGATCCAATTGAAATTCGATTTCAGGTTATTGGCTTCGAAAGATTTTGCTCTTAGAGATTGAGTTAGGTCTTGTTCCTGAGCTCATACATAAACATGTATAGGTCCTTGCAAATTGAAGTTTTTCGTTCTTTAATTTTTTAAATTTTAAATTTTTTTAATTTTTAATTTTATTTTTAAATACATTGAAGGATGGGGAAGATTATGCATTAGTGACTTGATGTTTAGCTACTTTTGTTTCTATTAAAATTAACTTCGATATTTGGATCTTATAGATCAGATTTTGTAGTTTCTTGGAAATATTTCCATTTATATCTTTGACGTCCCTTCACAAGAATTGACTCTCAAGTTTACATATCAAAGATAATCAACTTGATTATTGTTACTCAATTCTATTATAGATTTCTATCTCTCTCCATTGCTCAACCGTCGAGAAAGTTAATGGCCCATTAATGATAGGGTACGCGTCTGTAATTTCCATTGCTCGAGAGTCAAGTTCATGACCCAATGATAAGGTATGCGACCAAATGCCTGTTGAACCCTGTATGTAACTATTGACGGTCATGAGATTGTGAAAAATCTTTTCAGAGTAAATTCTGACATGTATGAAAGACAACAATTTGGGCACTATCTTGAAGAGAAGTTCATTGAAATAGGTGAATCCACAAGCCAAATCTCTAATCCGTTACAAGGGCATTGAGATTTGAAGTTTTGAACAGATGTATTAGTACTGAAACCACAACTAGAAAAATTTTATACCACCCATTGATACAAACTAACTAGTTTCATTAGTACAAAGTTCACTAAGTGGTAAAAAGTACATATGATGAACAAAAATAGGCTCCATTTCTATCATGTTCCTCTCTTCATGATCAAATTCTTCTTCATATATAGACTTGGTGCAATAAGCTTAATAGACATAGCCCTTGACAAACATTCCCTTCTTGGCTTCATCGGATTCACCCTCACCAGTGTACTTCCCGAGCTGAGCAAGGGAGTTGGCCTTGGCTCGAACCAGCAGAGTATCTTGTGCTGCCTTGACGTTCTCGGGGCGTCCTCCCCACGTCTTCAAGCATGTGTTCTGGAGGGCCCGGGCATAGGAGAACGATACGTGCCATGGGTTAGGGGCTTGGTTCATGGCATTCAAATTCAAGGTTGCTTCTACTTCAGATTGCCCACCAGACAAGAACTGCTCAAATCAAACAATTGACTCTGTTAGTCTATACATAAGATCACATGAAGACATTATTTGTTGAAGAATCCATCTAGCTTAGAATTAACCGATGTTGCTGCTGAAGCGTCATACTAGGAAGCATGTTTGGCAAGCTTAAAATTACTTATTTTGAGGGTAACTCTTACATTAGTGTCAAAATAAAAGTAATTCACTTATTTTCAACTTCGTCCCAAAAAAAAATCAACTCATTGCAAAACTTATTTACTTATAGGTAAACTTCTTAAGCTTTAGCCAAAAATGCTTAGGTTCCATATCGACTCTTTGTTTGATTCTCTCTCTTCTCTTTAATCATTAAAGGAAAACTATCGATATAAGCTTTAAGTACGAAAATTAAGACCAGGATACTTGCCATGATTCCAGGGACAGCTGGGGGAATCCTCCTGTGGAGAAGCTTGAGAGTGTAATCAGCAACTTGCTCGGGGGTTGCCTTCTCCTTGCATTCGGCTCCAGGAGTAACCATGCTCGGCTTGAGAAGAATACCCTCGAACAGAACATTGTTCTCGGCCAAATAGAAGAAAACCTCAGCCCAAACCTTTAGGGCAACTTCGAAAGTCCTGTCTATGCCATGTTCACCATCAAGCAAGATTTCTGGCTCAACAATCGGGACCAATCCGTTGTCCTGAATAATAAATAAACATTAGATTTAACAATATTTGTCTGCACTAAACAGTGTTTAGAAAGAAAAATAAGCTAAAATTTTATTTATATCAGCATTAGTGTTTTGTATGTAGAAAAGTTGTGCTTTAAACTCGATACATACTTGAGCAATGGCAGCATATCGAGCCAAGCCCCAAGCGGCCTCCTTCACGGCCAAGGCAGATGGACCATTTGGAATGCTCACAACGGTACGCCTAAAAGATGAAGCATAGGTAGATGATATCAGTATGGGCATTTCAAAATTTAGGACATGAAAATTGTGACACCGTGCTGTTAAGAACAAGGAAATGGACTCAAAAATCGTGATCCAGGCCTACCATTTGGCAAAACGAGCACCCTGTTGGTAGTAAGCAGCGGTCCGGGAAGCAAGGCCATCGAGTCCTTGGCACCAGGACTCATCATTTGAACCAGCAAGGGGAACCAAACCCTGCTCCGATCCAAATTAGCATATCTTTAGTATCATCGAATCTTGTTTTAAAAGTTTTTAAATTTTCCCCAAATTTGTGCATTACCTTGTCGACTTTGATACCGGGGACAATGTTTTGCTTGACGAGGACATCAACCATCTTTTTGCCATCGGTGGTCGATTGGTAGAGAGTCTCTTCAAAGAGGATGGCACCAGAGATGTACTGGCCGAGGCCGGGGGCTGTCACGAGGAGGGTACGGTAAGCTTGGCGATTAGCCTCGGTGTTCTCAAGCCCAATCGAAGCAAGACGCTTTCCACAGGTAGCATTTGATTCATCCATGGCCAAAATTCCACGGCCAGGTGATGCAACAGTTTTCTGCATTATTCATTCTCCACTGTTAATCAACTAGTTTTACACCTCTAAATTCATCCCTCTTTCTCTGCCTTAGTATGCTCTATTGTGTTCAAAATCATAGTTCGTTGTTCAAAAAACATGTTTTAAGATTCACTATTTCTTGCAAATACCAATTGAAGTCTTTCGGGAAATGAAAATATGGGCCGAAGAATGAATGCTTTCTATTTGTAGCTTATAGTATTTGACGCCGATTGCAACAAGTTAACAATAAAAGAAATTAGACACATACCGCAGTCTTAACAAGCTCATCGGCATAGGATGATGCTCGTATTGTGAGCGAAGTCACCGCATTCGGGTGGCACCGGACGACGGAGACGGAGGGTTGGCGAAGGGACTGACCCTTAACAAACTCAGCCTTATCAAGAACAGGAGATGACTTGATGAGCGATGCTGAGGCCATTGCTATATTTTTGCTGCTAAAATTTGACACACAAATGGCAATTTACAAAATCTTATCTCTTTGTTTTCCTCTCTTTGCCACAAAACCTTTATTCTCACTACTGAATTTATAATTGTCTAGTGTGTAGTGTTATATCAAAAGATGTCTAATTTGAGGCTGTCATGCACTGGCCAATTGGTGGTTGCCATGTGGCTGGACGTACAAGTGGTTGAAATAGATGGGATTATTCCCACCTGGTAAAAAAAATGAAAAAATAAAAATGGGATTTTAATCTGAAGAAGGGTTGATATTTTTAGGCTAAAGAATCCAAAAATGATGTAATATGAGGCTGTCATATTTTGTCACTTGTTTGTTTGATATATGATTCAATGTAAATGGCTCTGATTTAGTTTCAGGATTTGGTGTGATTATGATCATTGTGTCAACCGAGCACAATTTGCCAAGTTTGCAACGAACAAGTTACCAAATCACATAAGCGAACAAACCTTAGGGCCTACAAGAGGGGCATATTACGTTTCGTTGTTACGGTAAAGCTCAACTTGCATACTTGGTCAATTTTAAGCTAGTTATACTAAAGGCACACTTGGCAAGACTTCTAATAAGTCGAAGATTTTTTTAGAGTCATCTTGAACATGTTTGAATAATTTTTTGAAAATGCTATTTTTTGGCTTAGAAAGGTTTTCTATAAAGGGAAAAGCAAAAGCATAATATCTAACAAATGGGCTCTAAATATACTTGTAAAAGTAGTATCAAATAAGTCACTTCTCTATAACTTATTCTCATATTGGGAAAAGAAAGGAGCAGTGAAAAACTTATTTCAAGCCCGTAAAATCACCAAGTTAGGAATAGCTTTGATCATGGACAATCCTGAAAAGAGGAATAGGTTGTAAAAGTTCTAATTTGAACCCATTTTGCCAAGTTAAAGCTTGGTTCGTGAATTTATAGGCACTTGAACATGAATTCGTGCCAAGCTCAATCGAAGGTATTCTTATAATTCAATAGCTTCTATAGGGCTGAAGACATCTTGAGATACTTAACAGTGTTTGAAACTCCAGAACAAAATGGTGTTGTAGAACTGTTGAATAAAACTTTGATGGATTTTTTTTCGCTGTATGTGTTCAAATTTTGGGTTGTTTAAGACTTTTTGGACTGAAACTACTACTACAACTTGTTTTTTGATTGATCGCTCATAACAATAGTATAATTTTTTATCTTATTTAAGAAAGAAGAATAAGCTTCATTTTTTAAATTAACGAAAAAGAAAATTTAAAGAAGTGTATGTAAAGTGTATTTAAAGAATACTAAAATTGTTATTTTCTCTTTTTAGTATAATTTACCTAAATTTCTCAAATTGTAGCCATTTGCTAATGTCAGGTGGATGGTTTCTCGTGTGGTTGAGACATGATAACAAAATACACAAAGTACACAATAAAAATCAGAACATTGCATGCCACTTTTACAATGGGCAAAACTTGAATTAAATTCAGGTTTTATTCAGATTTTTTATTTGAGTCCTTTGTGGTAGCTGAAAATAGTAATTATATCCGCACCATATTTTAATTAAATATGTACTTAAGATTCTTAATATCTGCTTATTATGATAATTATGCTCCTAACGATTTTTTATGTCATTCTTATTCTCGAACTTTTCATTGATTAACACATTTTGTATTTGATAACGGTTGTATGTGCAAAAGTCCTATGAAATGGTGTAAAATAATTTATTTTCCTAACATATTTAAAAGATGAAAATAAAAAGTGTGAAAAAAATATTTTTTTCCTTGTTTCAAAGCATGAAAATAAAATATTTAGAATAAATCATCATTAAGGAAGAGACTTATTAATTAATAGAAGGTTGAAGATAAAAATTCGACTGATAATAGTTAAGAAAATAATTGTTATAATGAGTATAAATTTAGGAGTTTAACTACAATTAAAATATCATGTAAAAAATAAAAATTATAGTGTCAATATAAACATTATTCACGTATCATATGATACTCAAGTGTATATCAAGCAACAAATCACCAATCTTATTTACAGATAGTGAAACAAAGTGTTACCAATAGTTATAATTTTTTATAAGAGCAACACCACTTCGTGTTTAAAGTTTCATAATCATATCGAAGTAAAGAAAATCGGAGAAAACACGAATAGGTGCATCTGGTGCACACTAGGGTTGCCCCCCTTAAAGGACTGGGTACTATCACAAGCTTGTCGATGGGCGTCCCAAGCCAGGCAAAAAATTCTGCATGCTGCGGCAAGCCACCCACAAGTATTGGACCGGATGCCGACCAGCCTACTAAGGCCTCGGCCTATTCTCCTAGGTCCTCCACCATGCTAGAAGGCAGCTCAATGATGGCCACCGGCCGACCCTAAAAGGTAGAGCTCATTTCAAAGGATGAGGTCAAACCCAGAAATTGAGTTAGGCTCTATCATTAGCCTACGCCGTCAACTCGAGCCCTTTATAAAACAAAGATCCAAGGTGATTTCAAAATTTGTAATAACTTAGTGTTCTCGAGCCATTATTATATTGCAACTACAATTTTGACTTAGTTGTCGGAATGGGAACAATATCGCACATTTGACGACAATGACATTATGTCTCGACTAGAATGACATCGATGGCCATTTTATCAGAATTTTGATGCAGTATCTGAATCAGAGTTCTCTTTTTAAGCTCCTCGAGAAGAATATTATACACATTCTGCACAACGTAGATTGGGAATTCAGAGTTCCAACAAGGCGGCCACGAAGAAAAAATAAAATAAGAGACAATAAGGGATATGTCCACCAGATCATTGATTATATATCTTTCTACTAGATTGTAAAGAAGAATTCATTTATCACATTCTAGATAAGGATTTATAGATCACATTGTAGATTCACTGGAAATAAGGATTAGTTTGTATTTGTACCTAATACCGAAGAAGGAGTAATCAACACAAAACGTCCCTACCTTTCAAGTTTAGTATGGAAAACATTCATATATTTCATTTTTTGACATTTTTGCCCATATCTTTCACCTATCTTTGCGTAGAAGGTCATTCTCACTAGTTTTTCTGACGATTTTACCTTCCATTCAAATAAAACAAAAATAAAAAAATAATAAAGAACTAATTGCAATAATAGTACCGTATTTTCAAAAAAAAAAATTACAAATCAATCACAATTTATTGTGAACTAACAAATTTTAAAGTTACCCAAAAAGATAGAAAAAAGAAACTTGAATGCACAGGGAAATAATCAAGAAATTGAAAAAATTTTGAATCATGGCCAATGAAAATGAAAAATTTTCAAAAATGGATAAGCATAAATCTCAATTTTTGTTCAGTGAAGAGTCGGTGGAAGGCCTGAGGCAAAAATCACGTAATCTTCAAAATTTTTCATTTCCATTGGTTATGATTGAAAATTTTTCTATTTCTTGATTATTTCCCTTTGCATTCAAGTTTCTTTTCTCTCTATCATTTTAAAATTTTTCAATACACAATAAATTGTGACTGATTTATAATTTTTTGAAAAATTTGGAACTGGTTACAATTAATTCTTTATTTTTTGTTTTGTTTTATTTTTGTTTCATTTGAATGGAGGATAAAATTGTCAAAAGGACCTTTTGAGCAAAGAAAGGTGAAAGGTGGGGACGAAAATGTTAAAAAATGAAAGGTAAGAATATTTTTCACAATAAATTTAAAAGATGGGGACGATTTGTACCAATTATCCATACAAAAAGTTATCGAGAAATAAGGAAGAAGCTAAAATTATGTTGATTATAATATAATACTGAACTTCTCCACTCTTCTTGTAAAAACATGCCAATTACAAGGGACTAAGACAGCAAAATATTGCAAAATTCTAATGAACAACCAGTCATCTTGAAAAGCAGCTTCCAAAATGAAGCAAGAAATATCAGCATAAAGTTGTTAATGAATGGAAATCAAGGAACATGAGATGAGAAATTCCAGGATATCATCTCAATTAATATTCTTAATTAACTTAAAATTCAAGCAAGGATCATCCTAATATATCAGAATAAAAATGATTTTGCTTTCGCTAAACAAAATATCAGAATCCACAACAGTTAGTTGAATTTTTCATTTTGCGTCAGTGATCTCTACATATTACAGATCAATATTTTCGAACCAATTAAATACAGTTGGCTTTCAACTTCTATCCATGTCAAACAAAATCTCAGAAATTCTCACAAAACGGCCAAAATATTAAAAAGAAGATTCCGTTGCCGGGACTTGAACCCGGGTCTCTCGGGTGAGAGCCGAGTATCCTAACCAACAAGACTACAACGGATTTGCTAATTATTGTACTCTTCAAATAAATTATAGTGGTAGGCAAATTTGACCACGAGTCGATCTCATATCACGAAATGCTTTCGAGTTCTCTACCTCATTCACACTCTCACTCTAAATAAATCCCAATTCCAAGGTCTCTGTTTAGGGCCCGAAGTACCCACTTTCACCTTGGGTTAAGGACCAAGGTCCGAGATCACAGGATCCGTTATGGAGCGCGGCTGGAGTATATGAGCTCGGGCCATGGAGCCCTTTGCAACAGCCGAACCTATCGTCCTATGTGTCCCTTATCGATAGGGCAATACATTGAATAATTGATTTCATAAAAGATTTCCCCTCTTGCACATTATGATACCGTCCGTTGAATACTTACTATACGCAAAAAATAAAATAATAAAGAGATATTCAATCTATGAAGAATTTATTACAATATTTGTTAGCAAGATTATATTCTTGTGAAACTTTTTTTTAAGTAAAATTAACTTTAAATGATCTTTTTTGCTAAATCTAAATTTGAATTGAAAAATAATGATTTGGTATTCGAGAAACTCAAACTTGAGTCACTCAAACAAAGTACTACAACCGTTGAACATAAAATTGTTTAGAAATGTAATCGAGCTTCATGTGTATTAAAAAATAAAAATTTGGAGATACTCGAATACAATCCCCAAAACAAAGTAGTCCAACATTTGAAAAATGAATTTTCCTCTCAATTTTTGTTGTGAAAAATGCTCTATTGATCCCTATCCTCTTGCTCTTTAAGGAAAATTAATCTCTTTTGTAATAGTTGCACAATCAATTTTCAACGTTAATAATCGTCCATCATCCCTAACACATCCAACTTCATGAAACTCCACTTTATTATCAACCTAGACTAGCTACTATAATTTCAAAGTGAGGCATGTTTCTATGAAGGTCATGCGATGACAAACAAATATTGTCCATTTTGTAATGTCAAGTGAAGTTTTAGGTATAAATATTGTCCATTCTGTACTATCAACTACGATCTAATTCTGCGATTCTGCCTCTTAACCTATTCCATTTCCTCTGTTCTTTTACCCTATGAGCCCTAGGGGTAGCAGGAATCGAGATCCTTAAACATGCACTTGAATAATCTCACAAGTATTCAAAGTTCTTAACAATCAAGAAACGCATTTGAAACTGCATCACATCAGCATCAGTGATAGGCAGCTGCATGTATATATGCACATTAAATCAGATTATAACTACCATGTCCTCGTATATATAGAAGAACTTTAAATACAAAAGTAATTTCATAACTCAATGTTCTACAAAGTAACAAGTTTGGATTCAAGAAGTTCAACCATAAATTATTCCAAAAAGTGCACCACCACTAAGTTCAAATGAAAATAAAAAGAGGGATAAATATGGTCGAGCTAACATATGATAGAAAAGCCACAAATTTAATCCTTCAGTACCTCCTGGGAAAGCGGTCCATGAACCTTCCGGATGGACACTCAAATGCCATGTGTCCTCTTCCGCCACAATTGTGACATATCGCCATCGACATGCAGTCCCTACTCATATGACCTACCTGTTGGCAGTTTCGACATACGATATCGCGGTATCCACCTCCACGAATTCCAGAACCCCTCTCATCGAAAACATTGCCCTTCGGGCAGTCTCTAGCCACGTGCCCAGATATATTACAGGAATTGCAGACAGGTTTATTTTGACAGTCTCGGGCAAGATGACCTGTCTTCCTACAATTCTTGCAGGCCTTGTCATTGGTACAGTCAGCAGCAATATGACCTTGCTTAAAGCAGTTATTGCACAGCCTCAGGTCACCAGGTGGCAACGGAAGAGCTTCACAGTCTCTAGCAAGATGTCCTGCCTTGCCACAGGTATGGCAGATTCCCTCGTTTGGACAATTACCAGCCATATGGCCAGGTTCTCGACAGTTCCAACAAAGAGACTTCGTGGAGCATTCTGATGCAATATGCCTGGTCCAAATTTTCAAAAGAAATATCAAACATTAAAACACAAAGTATATGACTTTTTAACCTCAAAGGACAATTTACTGGTTAGAAAGCACAGAATTGAAATGAGATTTTCAACCAGATTAGGAAAAATCTAGTCATTGCTCCAAAAACGAAAGACAAAGTTTGGTCAAATTATACAGCAAACTGTACATCACGGAAAATTTCTTGTTCCTAAGTCGATTGCTCAGAGTTTCAATCAGATGTAAAGAAAAAGCCAGACCCATAACACATGCAAGAAAATAGGCACAAAATGGTCAGGGAAAACTAAGACAGCACCTCGGATATGAGTCCCTAGGGTGCTTATGCCACGACAGTGGGGCCTTATGCAGACGGGCCCAACCCAATAGGATCAGCACACCATTGTACCGATTGAATCACTCGAAGGGTCTCGGGGAACAATGTAATGTTTTGGCCAAAAACCCAAGGTTAACAGCGTATCTAGAAGTAAATCTACTGTAAATGACCCATATTTCTACTGGCTGAAGCCAATAAACACACATATCCCCGTATATAAGTATAATAGCAAGAAATATTGGTATACAAAGGGAGGTTCAGCATTAAGACTCGAATATGTCAAAAATTACAAGGCAGCTCTAGCCTCTTTGCTAATTCATGTAATTTATCAAGCAAATAAATGTGAAATGCTCAAAGTTTACAGTTTCAACATGATTAAATATCTTGAAGCAACCTAGTTAGAAAATGTATCCAAAAGGATACCTACCCAGGAAGACCACAATTGTGACAAATGGCCACATTAGGGCATTCTCTAGCAAAATGACCTGGCCTTTTGCAGTTCTTGCACAAACTGTTCTGGCTGCAAAGAGCACGGTTTAAAATTGTTTAGAATCTGACAGAAAGAAACTTCCTTCAAAGCAAAACATTAGTAAAATAGTTGCTAGCAACACATAACACTACAAAACAGAGAGAATAATTGCATAGAATGTGAATATCTCAAAAGGGAAAAAAAAAATTCAGATATACAAGCATTCACATAGAAGCGTCTCCTAAACGAGGTAAGGGTTGGTTACGTACAACAGTTTCCTTCTCCCAATTAATGCATGCTATTCTGAAGTAAAAAATAAGAACATGTGAATGAATTAAAACCAAATAACCTGAAACCCTGACGCAAATCCCGTCTATACGGTGCATCACGATAGGAATAGCGTTGGGTGCGGATCTTACGATCCATCGGGCTCCTGCTTCGGCTCCTTTCTAAGCTCATGTCCAAAACTATCCCAATCCAAACCACCACTCCTGCAAAATAATCACCAACAACACAGCTGCTGCTGCCTCCTTCCTGTCCACCACAACCACACACCCAAGACCATGCCAGTGAGTCCAAAAATCTTTACTTCATCCATGATTTTAAAACACCAGATTCCCATACTACTTTACAACATTTTTTCAACAAACAAAACCACCTTACAACAAATTATAAATCAGGAAACCAGCACCAATATGTTCACCAATTCAAAAAAGGTGGTGCCAACCACATCCTTAGTATTGCAACACCTCTTACCAAAAATAAATGGACAAACACCTAATGAAAGAAAGGCATCAAAAACTCCATTTCATGACATATTATCCGGTATATTGAGTGCGAGGCTGCAGCCCACACAACTCCTGCTACAACAGTTTACAAGCTGCCAAGACTAGGACTAACAGCAAGCATCGTGCATGACAAATTAATAAATTTAACCAAAAGACTAAAAGTTACAGATGAACATATATATATATATATATATATATATATATATATATATATATATATATATGGCACAGGATAAATTGCAGATCTTCCTCACACTCTACCAACATACTTCACAACAGGGAGTACCTGCTCACTGGAGTTTTCGTCTATCTTCCTACACTTTATCATCAAAACCCTAAATCTCAGCGAATTGAATTGCTCCTACAGACCCATTTTTTCTTCCAGCCCTAACCCATGGTTTTGCAAAAAAACATACGCAGTAGTGTTATGCAAAGTATGGTTCATCAGAGTCAAATGCTTCAGTAATGCTAATTCTTGCACTCGGTAGCAGGTATTTTCCATGTGAAGTTCGGTACCAGCTCAATTTCCTCTCATACGTATTTCTCATAGTAACCGATTCAAATCTATGAACTACGTGGATGAAAATTTTTAGGAAATCCAAGAAATTGAAAGAAACCTAGCTCTTAAATCCAATATATTACCAAATTAACTAACGAAACCCAGTCCAATAATGTATTATCACAAAATCTGAAACCCTAGTGGTACAACCAAAATTTTGGCAATCCAAATAAAATGTAAAAATCATTAGATTCTGAATTTTGCGTAATGGAAAATTGTGATCCACGGAGAGAGAGAGACGGAGAAAACCTGATACAACGGCGTCCGTACGAGTACTCAGGTTTCGATAGTGGAAGAAGATGAGTGAGTTGCCTCTTAGAGCCGTTGCTGATAGGATTAGAACTTGTTTATAAGGGCGCACCTCAACAATGCTACCGCTGGGTTGAAAATTGATTTTTTGATCACATAGAAAAGTGGGTTACACATTTTAACTGCGAGTGACAAAGTAGAAATGATTGTTGAAATAGTAAAATAATCATTAAAAATTAATTTTTTTGGATGAAAAATTATTACTAAATGGGGGCCTAGATTTTTTAATTTTTTAAATGGCGAGAGTAATTATATTTGTACCATAGTTTTTATTTGGATAATTAGTACAAAATGTCCCTATCTTTCAACGTTATTGTGCAAAACACGTCGATCTTTTGTTTTTTGACATTTTTGCCCTTATTTCAATGTTTCATTGCAAAAAAGTCATTTTCATCAATTTTTAACCAAAATACCCTCCAATTTAAATAAAATAATAAAAAATAAATAAATTACAATCCTACTCTTAAATATTTTAAAAAGTATAAGTGAATCCAAATAATTATTAAAAGGTCTAATAGTACAAAATGTTTCTACGTTTAGCTAGTGTGCAAAACGTTCCTACGTTTTAAACTGGTGAAAATGATTTTTTCGCAATGAAATGGGGAAAATAGGGATGAAAACGCAAAAAATTGAAACGTAGGGATGTTTTCCGCAGGAAGTATCGAACGTAAAGACCTTTTTTGCTATTAGACTCTATTAAAATATTAAAAATAACAAAAAATATCTCTCT